TACGGAAACCGCGGCAGACCAAACCAGATGAAAGTGCGCATCTCCATTATTTGAATGTCAGCAGACAGCAAGAAGCCTCCCAGATCTCCAGATGCATTTGAGATATCAAAAAGTACTCCAGAGTGTTGTTCAGCATGGGGGTGAGTAGAAAATGAAGGCTAATCATGTTTTGGGTGTACTATTCCATTAAGAGAAAAAAATCCCTTTATGAAGTCAGGATTTTGCATAAACAGCATACACTTGGTAAATACACATCCAAGCAGATTTATTTAAACACATAAAAACATTAGCATTAGCATTTTGAACGCATAATACTTAAGCGGATTCCAGAAGAGAGAAAGGAAAGAAGAGCTGCTGGAAGAACGGAAAAAAGTTCCCGAAATAAATATGTTATCTCAAAGAACCAAAGAAGGAGAGGTGGACGTTCCTTTTATGGAGCATTTGAGATCGAAAAAAAAAAGTCATCTCTTAATCTGCTCTATCCAGAACTCCTCAAGTGGAAACGTTTTTGTTTCACCTGGTTTAATTTCGTAAAAATTCTTCTTTAAGGAACCTTTGGTTATCCGAATATTAATCGGTTAATCGAAAAAGGAATTGACAGATTTATTGATTTGCTAAATAATAGTTAGTTGCTGCCTTAATTTAAAAAGTTACAGAGCGTTGCTTCACTGCAAAAACATTCTAACAATTAGTAAATATTTCTTAAAATAAGTGTATTTACCCTTAAGTTGAGTAGGGAAATACAATGATCTGCCAATGGAATTAGCGTTTTTACCCTTAAAATAAGAAAATTAGATATTATGCACTTGACATAAGAGACTGCAGTTGTTTTGTCTTATTTTAAATGTAAATTGTCTTATCCTATTGGCAAAGTTTCTCACATACCTGCTCAATTCAAGAAAAATGCACTTATTTTAAGAAAAGAAAGTCTTACTTAGATATACATTTGTTGCAGTGTTTAATTCAATGCCGTATTCTTTGATCGCTTGTGTCGGACGTTTATGTCTCCAAAGATTACAGATGGAAGAATTGAGCATCCAGATAAACCCCCCAAAAAACATGAGAATCAAGGAGCTAACATGACATCCACTAATCCAAAGCTGCTGCTGTAAATCTGTCTGACGCTCCCACACTCGCTCACTTCCAGTCAGTTATTTATTGACATCCTGTCAACCCGAGGTCTCACTGATACGTCTGAGGCGAGATCACTCTGAACTAGAAGCTAAGAGGACATTTTAAACTGCAGCCAGAGACACCAGCATTCAAATTGAATCATTACTAACATGAAACAGCCAAATCGTGGATCACTTTTCTCATAAAGTCGTTTAATGCCCAGAGATCCCCAAAACTGTGGATAGTACAAAAAAAAATGAAGCTTTTACCAAATAATCCAACGTCTATTGATTGTCATCGATTATGAAATCTTCATCAGTGAGAAATGATCAAGCAGCTTGGATTGATTTTCTATTATCTATGAGCTCATTACTACCTTTTTTTTTTTTTTATTTTGAAACAATTGACAAAAATATTTAAGCAGGGGCAAAAAAAATAATATATTCATACAACATATTTTTTCCTGATTATTATTCTTTATATTTTGTGAAAAAAAGCCAATCCTCTTTCCCTAATGGGAACGCAAAGAAGTTTCCCTTAATGAATATTATTAAACAGCGGGGACAAAAGGGAGTTCAATGTCTTATAATCTTCTTCTCTTCTTTTATTTACAGTTAGGATCAGCAATTTGTTCCCATTTTATGAACTGTACTGCAAACTTTGTCAGGGTTGGTGGATTTTGCTGTGGACCCAAATGCAGAGTAGAAGAGGCATAGATCATTTCTTGCTAAATTTAATGAAGAGGTAAAAATACAGAATGCAGACCGATCGACAACAAACTCAAGAAACAAAAAAATAGGAGACACTAGTGAGGAATAAACCTAAAGAATGATCCAGCAATGAGCAGCTGAACAGGAGGTGTATTTATGTGAGACAGAAACAATGGGAGCACTGATTAGCTAATAGGGAGCAGGTGTAGACAGGAGTAACTAGAAGGGAAGGACACTAGGGGGAAACAAAGAATAACCAGGGAGAAAGAATGCGATCTGAAAGTAACTAGAAAATAACTTAAATAGGTATAAAAGGTAGGGCTGGGTACCGAACATCGGTTCTTTTATGGTACCGACCAAAATGCTTCGGTTCTACAGAGTATCGAAACATGCCTCGTCTTTCGGTACCAAGTTTCGGGGATTGGCTGTAACACTTAAAGGAATTGGGTCATCCAGGAAAAATACACAGGTGGTCACGGCTACAGCCA